GTGGGGGCAGGGGCTATACTCCTGTTCTTATGGCCTCAGGGCCAGCTCTCTCACCTGCCTCAGGCATTGATGTTGGGGGGCTGAAGGGGGCATCATGGGAGAGCTATCCCCATTACTCAGCTGTCATGTGGTACATGTGTGGGTGAGAGATGCCCTAACCCCCTCACCTACCCACCCATCAACACTGAGGCAGGAAGATTTGATCCTGAGACTGTATTCCTAATAACCTCCTAATCCAAATTAATAGTGTTGGATCTACACCAATTTGCGAACTATCATTGTGAATTAATATCTGTCTCCAAATACACTTAATTACTGAACAGACTATTTAAGATTTGAAGCAATCACAGACATGCTATAGTTCAAGCATTACTACCATTCCATGCTGTCCCAGGGGAAGGATTGCCCACTAAGAAATTTTACTTATATAATAGGAGATAAAATTAAGGGTGCTTTTGTGACTAAATCCCATGACCCATATAATTTATTATATAGTTTAACATCATTAAAAGTACAATTTATGTCATCTCTTAGGAAGAGTAAAAATAATTAGCATTCAATTTTCTCAGTACTTGTAATTATGATGGCTATTTTCAAAAATGTTTCAAAAGTAGTATTCATAAAATTTTTAAAGTTGATACACAGATGTCATTTTGTTAGTCAATTGTTAAAACTCCATATGCTGTATAAGAATACAGCTATATATAGGCTAAATTTCATGTGGTTTTAATGATTATTTAATCAAAATATAATCATATCATTCATCCCTCTAACCCTTCCCACATGACCTCTCCACTCTACTTCCTTTCAAATCCGTTGTCACTTAGGCTTCATATGTGTTCTGAGTCCACTTAACGTTGGCTTGTGTATTTTTAGAACTGGTCATTTGGAATCAGATAACAATTAAGGGACTCATCCCCAAGAAAGACTGATTCTCCCTCTCTTTAAGGTCTCTAATCATCTGTAACTTTTTAGAGATGGAATACTATGTGATTTCCTCCATACATGCTGGCATGTCAACTGGTGTTGTCATTGTCCAGGGATTGGTGTTTTCATTAATAAGGTCTTTTTTTATGTTGTTGAGATTGCATGAGTGCACCTTTCCTATTATAGCTAGAAGACATGATCTTTGTAGCAGACTTTTCTGATCACCTTGCTTTTGAAATCTTTTCTCCCTTTCTTTTTGTAATCTCTAGATGTAAGAATTGTATTGCAAACTTAAGCAACTGTTTCAGGGCATCCCCGGTCAGTCATTTATTGCGTGTTGACCATTTGTAGCTTTCTGTCATGGTCTCTACTGCTACAGAAGGTAGTTTAATGAGAGACGAGAGCAACACACTTATCTGATGGTATAGGATATTAAGTATTTTATAATTAAGACTCTAAGATCTGTGGCCTCACTAGCCACAGGTAGTGGCACGTTTACATAACCAGACATGATCTCCCTTCTGCTAAAGAGACTTTAAGTTCACAAATGAGATAGAAGATGTAGAGTTTGTCTTTCTAGGTATGTGTTACCTCACTTTATATATTTTCCAGTTCCATCCACTAACTGGCAAACTTCATGATTTACTTTTTCTTTACAGGGTCTATCTGAACCATGTTTTCATTGCCCATTTGTCAGCGGGAGAACATTTAGGACTTGTCCACTTTCTAGTTATTTTGAATACAATGGCCATGAGCATAAATATGCACATATCTGTGGAGAAAGACATCAGTTCTTTGGGCAAATGCCAAAGAGTTGTATATCTGGGTCACATGATAAATTCATATTTAGCTTTTTCAGAGATTTTTGGGGGGAGATGCAGACCCTCAGACCCTGAACTTTCTATGACTTCTTGCCTGCCAGAGTTAACAACTTGTTTTCCTATGCTTGCAGCTGCTCTGAGCATGGAACCCTCATGAGTTTCTGATAACAAGGAAGTGGTTTCTGGTGGGCTTACAGTGAAAAGTCCTAGAGCTAGGGCTTGGCCAATAGTCAAGGAGAGCACTATATAAGCTGTCTGGAAACATAGGAAAATTGGCATTCTTGCTTCAAGAGTGACCCAAGTCTTTGTGTGTTCTTTAGTCCCCAGTCTCTTGCATGACCACGGTTCCAGGTGGTACAGGCGGCACATATCTCCACACTGATTTCCTGAGTGACTGTACCAGTCTGCAGTTCCACCAACAATAAATGAGGGCTCCTCTTTCCCCACATTCTCACCAGGATTTGTAGTCACTTATTTTGTTGATTTTAAGCATTCTGATTGGGGTGAGGTGAAAACTCAGAGTTTTTTGGAATTTCATTTCCCTGGTTGATAAGGATGACAAGCGCTTTGAGATATTTCCCAGTCTTTTTATTTCTTCTAGTTGAAATTCTCTTTTCAGATCCATAGCCCACTTTTAATTGTGTTTTTGCTTTATTAACTCTTTGGTATTGTATTTCTTTATTCAGATATTAATCAGCTGTCAGATGTATAGCTGGCAAAGATTCTCTCCCATTCTGTGGACTACTCAGCCTGGGTGCTAGGAACTGAACTCATGAACTTTGGAAGAACAGTGAGTGATCTTGGTATTAACTTCTAAGCCATCTCTCCAATCTCAATGATTTTTAATTTTCTGAGTCCACTTGCCTGGGTCTCAGGATGCAGTGATTTATTTAGCCAAACATCAGCCAAGATGCTTTTGTGGTGGTATTGTTAACCTAAGATTAGCATTTGAATCAGCATACTTTGAGAAAAGCTGATTATCTTCCATAGAATGGGTGACATCAAGGAATCAATTGAAGGTCTTAAGGGAAATCAGACTGAAATCCTCTAACACAGGAAATTCTCCCCCCCCCGCCCCATTCTAAAACTAAAAGCAAGGACTACGTCCTTTTCTTTCTCTCTCTCTCTCTCTCTCTCTCTCTCTCTCTCTCTCTGTGTGTGTGTGTGTGTGTGTGTGTGTGTGTGTGTGTGTGTGTGTGTGTAGATATATATGTTATGTAAGGTATTATTTTAGGGAGACATAGAGTTTATGTTACCATTAGTTTAGGATTCTCTAGAGCACATCCTAGTGGTTTGTGCATTAGTCTAGGATGACCTAGACTAACCATTTAATGCACAGGCTCCTACCCCACACTACAAGGAAAGTCTGCTAAAGGAGACCAGTGTCTGATAAGCCACTCTCCATCCATAGCCCTCTCACCTCAATTTCCAGGATAGGCTTAATCGCAGTCCTTCTAAGTCCCACGTCATTGTTTGGTATCGACATCAATAGTTCTGAAACTTACCCACAATAATTATCTTCAGCTTTGACTCACGATGTTGACTTTCAACTTCTTTCCCACACCTTCAAGAGATCCTACTTTGATGTTCTTAAACAATGGAAGAGAACCACGTCTTTGAGATCATGCTGTCACTGACCTGGCATTCTTCTGGTAGGTCCCTCTTCTTAAGTATTTAACTACTCTCCAAGGGTACCACAGCACTGTCAGCTATCAACCAAGACTTCTCATACAAGAGCCTTTGGCACCTGAAACAGCCAAATCATAACACTGGTCTGTGTGCTCCTGTATAGCTAGGAACAGATTCCAGGACACAGTCTTTCCTGGGCTGTATGACCTCTTTGGTATGTTTACCAAAAACATCTTTCTTTTTCTACAGTGGTGTATAGTTATTTCATATGAACTGAAATGTTCTCTGAGGGATGGAGGCTCATCAAGACTCAGGAAATAAATAAAATCACAAGCTTTACAAAGCTCCTGAAACTTAACAAGATTCACAAGTTCACAAGACCCCTCTCTATTTTTACATAAACACTGACAATTTCTGGGAAATTGTCAAGCTGCCTCAGTGTCAGGGAGAAAGGTCCAGGGATATAGTGCTTATGAGCTGTCAGCCATCCTGAGATGGGCTTTTACAGTGATATAGATGCCTTCGTGTAACTAATGGTCATAAAAGAACCTTTCCACCCATATAAGTAATCCCTAACAAACTCACTGGTTCACTAAGCTAGGCGTGGGTAGAATTATTCCCTTGCTTTGTCATCAGTGCCTTTTCTGGTGTGAATAGATAGATATTTGTCCCAGTCCCCTGAGGAAAGGTCACATAACATACATCCATCATAATAGTTCAGACCTTCATTTATCATACCATTGCATTGTGATGCCTATCATCTGGTTATTGTTCTGTAGTATCTTTGGTGGAAAATACAAAAGCTCTTTCTAAGATAAAAACATCCACCTGATATCTTTTGCTCTTTTGAGAGTTATATTTATGGAATTGCTGTTTTTTAAAGCATAATAAATGTATTATATAGTTTAACCAATAGGGTTTGGCCAGAAATGGCAGTGCTTAGAATAACTGACTGAGTACTCAGCACAAGCACGACATCTGCATCGTAGCCTTGGAAGGGTCAGGAAGCATTGCAGAAGAGGGGCAGAAAGGGTTAAAGCAGGAGCCTGAGCAGAGGTGCTGTGAAATATGTCTCCTGGAGTCATGTCCTCAGGAGTCTCTGCAGCCATGGCTACTGCACAAAGTCAGGTCCATCAACACACAAACATTTCATCACAAGTGGAGAAGCAGCTCAGAAGACTGCCTTCCCAAGGAACTGTAGCAGAAACTGTAAACATGGCACTGGGGGCCACTTTCTCCCCCACACTTCTTATGCCAGTAACCCTCATTTAAACTCAGTGGCTCACAAAGGAGAGATCGGTGGAGGAGGAGGAATTATGGGAAAGAAGAAAGGTTTCTGAGGAAAAGAGAGGGGAATGAGAGACAATAGTGAGGGGGGATGAAAATGACCGAAATTCATTATGTACATGTAAATTGTCAAAGAATCTTTTTAGGGAAAGGGAAAAATGTTTGCTGAATAAGAACGCTCAGCCCCTCAGTTAACTTACTGACACAGGATATTCCATCCTCAGAGTTTAAAGCACTGAGTCCCTTTATTATGATCAATGTAGAAGGAAGTTTGAGCGAAAATTCACACTACTATGTCTATGCATGCAGGAAATTTATATCTAAATGTTAGTCTAACGTAGAAACCCTTTATCTGTTTGCAGTACTCACTCATTCACAAGCTCACTAGTACAGAAAACTCAAAATATCCAGCCCTTCTTTAATTCAATCATGTTACTCAGTACTCAAATGAGGTCTCAAAAATCAGAAATCCAGAAGAGCGCTGGTGTAAATCTATTCTTCTCCCGTGACTGCTGTAGTCTGAGGTTTACCAGCTCACAGAGGCGGAATGAAGATCTACCATCTGAGAGACCTGCTTTGCAGATACACAAACGCTAAGATGCAAACTATCGGCCCCTTGGGTCCTGTCCATTTTACCTATCTCTGAGGTCGCCACAAGGCCCTCTGGTTACGGAGAGACCAACTTGCCAATAAATAAAATATTGCCAGACTTATCCTGAATAGTGAACAGGAAGGGAGAATTTGCTGTGAACTGAACTGTGACAGGGAGTCGCTTCACAGCGATACTCTCCCCAGTGGCCGCCGCTGCCTCGGTGCCTTCCTCGTTGACATCCACATAGGACTTGTGAACAACCTTGGATAAATACAGGCCTTTGTCAGGTGACATTCCAGAGAGATCAGCTGTGGCCACGCTGAAGATGTCCCGCATCCCTAGGGATTTCAATAGGGAGTTTAGGTCGTATTTTACTGCAAGGTTGAATTTGGGAATGTGAACATCCACTTCTCTTTCCACCATGTTAGAAGAGTTGGTCCACTCTTGAAGCATCTTCACGTTCAGGTGTTTTTCTATCTAAGAATCAAAATACAGACGATCACACATGAGCCAAAACATAGCTTCCGAGTAAAGCAGATGTTTCTGTAATTCACATTGGGAATGGTCCAGCTTCTTCCTGGCTTGTCAGCCTTCAACGCTCACACGCTCACACGCTACCTATCTACCCGTTAGTCAGACCTTCCCTTCCTGTTGTCTATGTCGCCTCCATGTTTCCTCACTGACTTTCACAATGTACATTTTTGATTTCCCTCAACATTTAGCCTTTACCTAAGCCTCCCTGCTTATTGCCCTGGCAATATTGCCTGCTTACTGAATCAATCCACCATTTCTTCTTTACCTGCACATCTGAAATTTGGAGTCACATCTATATGAACTTAGTTCTCATTTGGCTTCTAAGATGCCAAATCACTTTGCCCCACTCCTAATGACTTCAATCTCCCTGGTGCCCTTTACGCTTTCTGTTATGCTTCTCCAAGTTCAACATGGTACATGCTCGCCTTGATGCCTTTGCACTTCTTTCCGACTGGCATTTCAACGCCCACATATGTACACAGGTTTCCCAAATGGTCCCAGCAACTGACTTCTCATAATAAAATAAAGCTTCATCATTTTTGTCTGTCATTTAAATGATAACCTTGGGTATTTAATGCCCTACAGCAAATTCTCTATAGCATTACATACTGTATAATTTTTATTATTATCTTGTTCCAAGGTTCAATACATTTTATTAATTTCCCATTCTCATAATACAAAATAAGATAAAGGTAGATTTTCTGTCAAAGTATCTTTTCATTATTTTCATTTGCTAGGTCTAATCCAAGTTATAATAACAGCAAACAGCTCTCAACTGCCTCAGTTAGCAGTGCTAACTGAGAATATGAGAATATGACGTGTGCTCATATTCTCCCTGGATCAGGGTCTTCTCACTTTCCCTGCCCATCTTCTGTATATCTAGTGAAACTCACATGGAGAGAATCCTCTAGGAACACCACCCCCAGCTTCCTCATTCTCATTCATAGCTTCCATAGTTTGCTCATGACTTTAAGAGAAGTTTAAACTGCTTCCAAATTGCTGACTTTAGCGTCCTCTACCCCAGCTAACTTCAAGTTCCCAGGGTCTTAATCCCCTCTGAACTGGCCCCACTTGTAAGCATATGTATTTCTACAGTACAGCTTTGCTTCTCTCATTCCAGCTCTCTGTGAACTGGTATCCCTCTCACCCCCTAATCCAAATGCATATAGCCCAACAGGCTCTTTCAGGAAACAACTGTGCCAACTGTTAGACACTGGCTGACTTAGTAACTGACTGTGGCCACCCTACTCTATGAATCAGCTTCCCCAGGCTCCCAGAGCCGTAACTGTTCTCCTAAGAAGCCTCATTTTATGCAGTGTTCTGCAGTACTGGGTAGGTCATAACTAGGTTGGGGTAAGATGCCATCATCACTTCTAGGTCTCTCTGTGCTAAGAACCGTTGACTACAACCAGGGAAAGGAGACTGAATCCAAATTTCTGCCACTGCTATCGTCCCTTCCTTGCTGTGGTGTTATTTCCTTCAGCGGTTAGCCTGTGAGTGTATCCTCTGGCTAGCTCAGAAAACTTTCCCTTAGCAAGGCTTTAACAACTCTCTAGGGCCCAGGGATCTCATCAGCATGACATCTCATTATTGCACAAAGAGGTTCACTAAGTGTCTTATGAGGGATATGTACATACATTTATATTATATAACATAGTGAACCTATGTGACTTTTTCAATAAATGAAGTGCTTGTCTTGCCTGAATATTGTCCTAGAGGGCAGGAATCATCCTTAATCTACAACTCCTGGGGAAAGTCTACTAAGCCTAGTCATGAGCCCATGACTGATCATAAAGATATCACTGGGCACACAGAGTATGTGTGTAACAGTGTGCGTACACACATACATGCACACACAAACAACCACATGCATTCACTCACACATATGCTTGGTGCAAGTGGCACTGCTGGGCCTCTACCTGGTTGACATTCGCAGAGCCTACTGGAAGCAAGATGATCATTCTTAGATTGTTGTTGGCGTAGGGCAGCTCCAGGACCTGCATCTGTGGCTCCTTGATGAAGGCCAGCTTAAACGTTCCAGTCTGATACATCATGTCCACAATGGCACTTTTACCCTATTTTTAAAAAGATTGTGTTTAAGCAGTGGATATGTATGTATACTTTATTTTTACAGTAGGAATATTTGTGTTAGCACTCTAAAGTGGAACTGTTAACTGCACCCTTTCATTACTTTCCTTTGCACAGGTTATCAATTTTATAATCTTAAAATAAGTCAAAGTTAGAGACTATAGAAGTATAATAATATAGGGATGATTGGGGTCTTTAATTAAACACAGAGAATCTAGCTAAAATGACTTATGTTGGGAATCAAACGGGAGGCTCATTGTCTCTTCTAAGCCATGTGGATACTGTCTGGGACAACAGCTTAGTTGTTATCAGCTGTCAGAGGAAGCAATCATCATGAGAACCTCAAGGCTTCAGGGATAGGACACTGGGAAGAGACAAGGTTTCCACTTTTCAGAGAGTCTCTGTCCAGCCTCATGTCTAGTAAGAGAAGTTACTCACATTTTGAAAAGTAAAAGCCGTCAGCTAACTACAGCAATGTTTCCATGAAATTTTTCTGAACTGTGCTTAAATTATAGAAATTTTCCAAGACTTGTCATCAGTTTGAAAATGAAATACTTACCACACTTATGTGAAATGGAGCTTTCACTGTGTCTCTTTTCTTGAATTTATTTTTCCACTGTCCCTTGAAATATATGGCACTCACTAGGACCATGACAGAGGAGGGATCAATTGTACCCTTTCCAAATAAGTTTGTGACTTTTCCTTGTAGTAAAACAAACAAAAGAAGAGGTGATTTTATTTGGATTAGCTTGCTGATAATAGGTATTTTCAAAAGTTGCTTTCCCAGACAGTCACTTCCATAGTTTGTATGTAAAAGATCACACCCCACCCCAGGAGAACAAGATAGGGCACAGTACGTTTCAACCTACGAGTCACAATTCCTTTGGGGCTTGGAAATCAGATATCCTGGATGTCAGATATTTACAATTCAATTCCTAACAGTAGAAAAATTGCTAACAATTTTTTGTTACAAGTAGTAACAAAATAATTGTATGGCTGGGGGTCACACATATGAGGAGCTGTATTAAAGGATCACAGCATTAGGAAGGTGAGAACTGCCTTAGCAGGTGGAAACACTTACTACTCAAGTCTGCCGCTCCATCAAGAGAACCCGTGGTAGGCGTGAAAAAGCTGACTCCCAGTCATTCTCTCATCTCCACAAGAGCACCTTGGCACATGCATCATGCACATGTGCATGCACGCGCACACACCACACACACACACACACACACACACACACACACACAGACTTTTTAATTAAATTTATCCATAGGTGTGTCAAAGTGTGTGTACATGTGTGAGCATGCCTGTGTGTGTATACATAGACATCAGAGATCACGGACTGTCACTTCTTTGTTGGTCTCCTGTTGGCCTGGAGCTCCCAGTTATTCTGCCTGTCTCAGCTCCCCATCAAGAAGGGCACAGTAGGCAGCACACACACAGCTTTTCTACACAGGCTTTTAGGCATCAGACTCAGGTCCTCATGCGAAGCAGCTCTTTAATGATAAGTTATCTCCCAGCCCTTCTTACTTTTTTACTTGTTTGCTCATTTTGTTGTGCTTATGATAGTGGGGGATTTTTGTTTGACAGTTTCATGAATACATATGAATTTTCGTCTTTCTCACCTTATTACCCTTCTTCAACTTCTCCCTCTCTCACTGAAACAACTTTTGTGCCCAGTAAGTCTCCTGTCTATTTTACAGGCTTTGTGTAAGTGAACCACTGAATTAAAATAGGGTTGTTTGCATAATAGTCTCTGTAGCCCAGGCTGTGGTGGAGCTTCCTGTTCAGACCAGGCTGTCCTAAAACTCAGTGTATGGAGCAGGCTGTTCTGGAACTCTGTGTAGACCTGAATTACAGACTCTGTTCTGTAATTCCACATCTGTCAGGCTGTGCTGGACTTGCTTTGCAGACAAGGCTGTCACAGACTTGCATTGTTGGTTGCTCTGCCTTTTCAGCAATCTGCCAGGTTGTAGGCATGTGCCTCCATTCTGGGCCACCTACCCTTGTAGTGCATGTATGAGAAGCAGTGCATTACAAATATAAAGACCGCTTAAAGCAAAGGCATATTTGAAATCAGGAATTTGTTTGGAAGATTCCAGAAGTTGTCTGCTTTGTGAATATTGTGACCAGTTGCCTTGGTGCCTTTCAGTGTTATGTAACCCAGAAACTCTTTTTGGAATGTACCCAGCCATCTGACATGAAGCACGGGTAGGCACAACACCCAACTCTAATCCTGAAGAAGGTTTTATTTTCATTATAATCCTGAGTCTACCCCATAACTAGCGTGTGAAAACAATAAATATGCATAGATGCTTAAAATATGTTTCTGAATGAAGGAGTGAATTAATTTTAATAAAATCTGCTGAATTTATGACATCCCCTTAAAGCAGGAATGATATTCACTTTCTCAGAGTCTTCTGCCATACATTGCTTAGGAGGAATGGTCACAAAATATATTCCTAAGTATGTTTCCAGTTCTTTCATTGTTATCTACCTGCATTTAGAATTCACATTAGTTAACTTCTGCTTCCTTGTTCGCATAGCAAGGGAAGACTTTTACCAAATGAACACAGATAAAGTTTGTACACATAAGATAGACATTAAAGTTTTGTACACATACAGATACACATATATGTTCACGCACACAGTTATCCTTACCATTAGTTTTATTCTCAACCCAAGTGTTAATACTTTTCCTTGTCTCTTCTGTAGACAATTCAAAATCAACAGTTTGCAACTTGGCTTGGAACAGTCTCTCGGAACATCTTAAATATTGCTGTAAAAGAAAGAACAATTGAATGACAGTACAGGAGTAGTGCAGAGAGGTCTGGAAAGATGGCCATTGAGTGAAGTATAGCTGGAGACTGCACTTACATTTCCTGACTGTCCACACCTAAAGTACACACAGAAACTGTACCAATTACATCATTGACCAATGGCTCAGGCATATTCCTAGATATTTCTGGCATCTGAAATTAACCAATTTCTTTTAATTTATGTACTGTCACGTGGCCTTGGCTTTACCTCATTTTCTGTTTTCTACCTCATTTCCTTGGCAGCTGGCTGGCATCTGTTTCACTCCGCCTTCTTTTTCTCTGTATCTCTGCTCGAATTTTCTGCCTGTCTTTATTCTACTAAACTACTGGCCGAAACAGCTTCATTAACTAGCCAACAAAAGTGACATGTACATAGAGGGACATCTCACAGCAGTGAGGCAGTTGCTGTGCAAGTGTGAGGAGCAGAGTTGCCATCCCCAGACCTGGGTAAAAGCCCGGTGCCCTGCACATGACTCCAGTTCTCCTACAATGAGAAAAAGAGCAGAGAAAAGGGAAATCCCCAGGAGCTAGTGACTGGATTACTCAAAGCGGTGCTAAGCAGGAAGAGACCATCTTTTAGAAAAGATTGCAAGAGAGAACACATACCCAAAGCTGTCCTCTGACTTCCACATACACACGTGGCTCAGGTACTCACTCTTAAAGTGACACACAGCAACACTGTGTCTCTGTCACTGTTTGGGAGAGGCAAAGAGGAAGAAAGATACCAGCTCAAAGGCAATAGCCCTTGACTTCCATTGTCTCAGACACTCAACACATTTTTGTGAGCTTCTGTGACAGCAGAAGAAAGGCTCCATAGTGTCAAAGTGCTTCCCTCACCTCAGATACAAAGATTCTGTTAGAGATGTGTGACACCTAAGACAGCTTAAAAAACCAAACTGGAAAGACAAACAAATATTTGAAGCTTCCTCCCAATGCTTCAGTAATCTTGATCAGATGGAGATGAACCAAGGACACCAGTATTTCCTGCCGGTCATAGCAGGAAGAAGGCTTGAGTTTAGATAAGGATCAAATCTAAATCTTATTATCTCTAACATTTGCCAACTGAAATTTTCAGAATCTGCTTTGTAGTCTCTAGACTTATTGGAAGATTTGTATCTTTGTCAAAGCACAATGAAATGATTGTATGAAACAAAACCTGGGATGAGTTCAAGAGTGATTTTCCCTGGGGATTATTAAGTGAACATTCAATGGAGCTACACACTAAAACGTTCATGGGTAAGGGCTGAAACCCACCTCCAGTTTTGGAACTAGAAAAAAAACTAATTCTCTTGTTTTAAAGACAGAAGTCATATGTATAAATGGAAAGAGAACTCACATCTCTTGGCTCCTAGTTGAATACACCTATAACTACCTCTTGATAGTCTACCATCAAGTGCCTTTGTAAAGATAAGAAATGGCTCTCACTTTTCTTCCCATCTATAAAGGGCAATTCTTACAAATGACTTCATTTTGTGTTTAATCTCTGACCCTAGTTTTTGCGCAGTTTTATGGATTTTACAGAAAAGGGAGTTTTCATGTGATACTACAGAACGCTAAATTTTGATAAAGTCATTTCTCAGAATGCCTATGCTCAAAGTCAGCATTGTAAAGAGCACCCACCGTAAGTTCTTCTCAGTCCCCCCATCTTTACACTATGAAATTCAGAGGCCCCAGGAATGCTTACCTTGTGGAATGTGATCGTCCTCGTCCCATAGATTCTGTTAGCAATGCTGAGGGAATTCAGTTGGTTGATTTGGGATAGCAGAGCTCCAAATTCAGAATACATCCTTCCACCTTGGCTGCACTGGCAGCAATAAACAAAGAAAAGTGATTGGTTCCCTGCCACTAAAGAGTTATAAATAATGAAAAGAAAATATCTGCAGATCAAGATTTTTTGCCTTCCAATAAACAGCAGTGAACACAAAGAGATGAGCTGCTCAAGCATTTTACTTGATTTCTTTTAGCAAAACAATCTCAGCAGATGGTGTACAGACTCAACAGTATTACTTGTTGCTCCTAAGAGTTTAAATCAGAAGCTTAAGCTTTCATGAACAAAGAGATTCTAATGCAAATTCTGTGGCTGCCTCTGTATTTATATTTCTACGTTCAATTCTCAATCTTTTTATTCTTTCATATATATTTTTTGACTGTTTTTTACTTATATTTTATTCATTGTGTGATCATATTCCACTGTCATCTCTTGAATGACATGAAAGATGTGTTTAGGCTATGAAATATTACTTCAACTGTGTAAAGGTATGTTGCATTTACTTAATGATGTAAAGATGTGCTACATTCGTCCATCTGTATTTTTTTAGATTCTTGTTGACCCCTTCTTCCCAATTAGTGGGCATGGTCTTACTGGATAGCCCTGACTCGAATGCATTGTGTGTACCAGTCTGGCATTGAACTTGCCAAATCTCCTCCTGCCTCTGCCTCCTCCGTGCTGAGATTACAAATATGAACCAACACACCCAACCAATGTCTCAGTTTTCTAAATGACTATCTAAACAAACTCTTCAACCTTCACTAATAAGATCTAATATATTCACTTGTTTTATGCAGTAGCAATTCTGCAAAGTTTGCAAATGTGATACATATGACTTATCATTAAGAATTCATTGATGTCAACCAAAGAGGTGATGTCTACATTTCCTAAACAATGGTTCCTAATAAACAGGGTTTCTGAGAAGGTTTTGATTATGTGTGTGAGTTATAGAATTTTTAACTATGTAAAAATGTGGTACATTTATTTATGCTATGGAATATTACTTTAATTGTGTAAAAGTGTGTTGTATTTGTCTAATGATGTAAGCATGTATACATTCATTTATGCTGTTTTTGTTTATATGTAAAGATTGTTGCACTTGTTTCACCTTGTCTGCTTAAGGCACCTGAATGGTCTAATAAATGACCATTTCATAAGTATATCTAATAGAAACAATGAATGGCCAATATCTAGGTCAGGAGAGAGATAGGTGGGGCTGGCAAACAGAGAGAATAAGTGGGATGAGAACTCTAGACTCAAGAAGAACAATAGAAGGGGAGAGAAGGAGGAAGAAAGACTGGGAGACAACATACAGAAAGAAAGGTAAAAAGCCCTGAGGCAAAATGTAGAAAAAGAGATAAAGGTTAAGTTTATAAGAGCTAGCAAGAAATGAGCCCAATCTAGGCTGAGCATTCATAACTAATGTTAAGTCCCCGTGTCCCAATTTGGGGACTGGTTGTGGGCCTAAAAGAAAATAATCTTGGTCTCTCTTTCTCTCTCTTTCTCTCTCTTTCTCTCTCTCTCTCTCTCTCTCTCTCACACACACACACACACAGAGAGAGAGAGAGAGAGAGAGAGAGAGAGAGAGAGAGTACATTTATCCATATACCCAAGCAGTATTACAAATGCTACCATGTGAGAATTCTAAGTAAATTAGTGAATTCTCCTTTGAGAATAGTAGGAACTATTGTCTCAAAGCACATGGATGGTGCTATATCAGGCAGTCCTTTGTCAGTAGCTCTTAGTGGACTAACAAAACTACATGCATGGGTGAATCTGACAGACTCAATAGCAGGCAAAAGCACAGAACAGAAACGTTTGCATAAAGATGACAATGATTAGTTTAACAATTTGGATGGGAAGGCATTGCTGCTGTCATTACTACTGTGTGCTAAGCTCAGTCCCCAACAGTGGTTATTGGGAATATGATTGAGGACTACAGATCGAGCTGTCTTTTTCACAGACCCAAGAAAGGACTCCACTGCTCTACTCCGGAACTATGATTTCTTTTTTAAATAATTTTTTCATTTATTTTACATTCCAACCACAGTTTCCCCTCCCTCCTCTCTTTCTGTTCCTTCCACCTTCCATCTACCCCCACACCCACTCCTCCATTTAAAAAGGGGCAAGTCTTCCATGGGAGTCAACAAAACTTGGTCTATCAAGTTGAGGCAGGATCAAACTCCTCCCACTACATGAAGGCTGGGTGAGACATCCCTGCATGAAACATAGGTTCTCAAAAGCCATGAACTATGATTTTTTGATTCTTAGAGTACTTGATATCTCAGTAATGATATCCTCATACCTCAGAAAAGTCTTTCATCTTTGGTTTTAAGAATTCTGAAAAGTTGTCATAGTGGAGCACCTAAGAAAAGAAAAGAAGTCAACTGGTCACAAAAGTAATGTGCAAGGTATAACATCTGAGAGCTGCAATCCCTCTTCCATTTCTGATCAAGACCACTAGTGATAGATAACATGTGATAATGTTATGTTTCAAGTCCTGAGTTAAATCTTTGGGCATTTTATTTAACCCTCCCAACAAATTCATTGATAATTAATATTATCTCTATTTTATGTTAGGGAGACTGAGATCAAAAGGGACAAGCACCCTTGCCCCATACTGTGGTCGATCAGGTTCTAGAAGCTGAACTCCATTGCTGCAGCCACTCCGCCCTTCTTCTACTCTTCAGGTCTTCGTGTAGAGCACTGCCTATAGGGAGCCCTGGACAAATGGCTTCCCTGCAAAGTTAAAATATGCAGCTACCATAAGAGTTGTCAAGAGAGGTTTTTCTAGACATTTTCAGTAATAAAAACTCATAGATTCAAAAGACCCTGGTGGCTGGTGTCATGACAGATCGCCTTTCCTTTGTTCTTCTAGTTGTAAAATGGAGTTGACAATCTCTGTCTGCTAACAGGATAGTCCTGAAGAAGCTTAGTAATAAATTCCTTTTTAAATTTTATTTAAAATGGTGTGAGGATTTAGAGTTTAAAATTTTTAGAAGGAAAGAATAGCACCAAACATGTATTCTCTATTATATTAAAATCACCAAAATAAAAGTTACTGCAGAATGCCTTAGATATAAAAGAAGTTATGTGTTGTTTTGAGCTGCATTAAATCCTATTACTTAAAACTTTTTGTCTTTCTCAGAAATATGACTTATGTAAGTCATTTCTCATTTTTTAATAAAATTTTATAAGCAAGAGAAGGCACATGAAAATATCTGGGTTCTGGGGATGTTCTCCTCCAACCCTTACCTTTTCCATTTGTTCAGCACTCTTGCCTCTGGCACCCAGAAGGAGCATGCTTAGAGCATAGAACATGGTGAGTGGAGAAAAGAAGATATTTTCTCCCGCATTGTTCCTGCTTAGCTCTTTGAACACATCAAGGCAAAATTCAGCGTTTGCTGTGGTGATAGGATTCATTTTGCCAAGCGATGCCTAAGAATAGAGAAGGAGTGATTCAGCCCTGTGTGTTTACCATCTATGCTTTCAGACATCCTCTTCCTGGAATCTGTGTACCAAAAGCTTATGCTCCACGAACTCAAACAATTGTTTCCCATCAGACTGCCCACATCCATAGGCCTCACAAGACAGAGTGTCACCTTTCCTCTCAGTTCTGTACAAGCAATCTGACACCCGCCACAGTTTTATCCCCATCTTGGCACAATCTTCCAAGAATGTGAAGTAAATCTAGTAAGGTGACCAAAGTTCCCCATCCAGTCAGAGCCACGGCATCAGTGAAAATGAAGGAACCAAAAAGACACACCTGAGAGAAGAAAAGATTATGCTGGAGTATGGACTACTTTAGGGAACGAGTGTGTTGGGAAAGAAACATCATGAGAGCGCCAAGAGTACCGAGCTGCAGAAAGGGTAATCAGCAAGAGGAGTTCCCAGCCACTGTGAGACTGTACTCTTCATAGGGCTCATTGCTGACAAACACTCTTTTGCTTTGTCTTCCTGGTGGTCACTCTCTTTTAATCCACTGTCTCCCACTCAGGATCTTTCACCATTGCTAGCCTCGGTTCATCAAATGTCTCCAGGATTCAGATCTGAATCTTCCTTGCCTTTACACTCCCAGTGACCTCATGCCAGGTCATGCTCAAACATCGCCAACACACTGTAAGGTCTTTGTTAGAGTTTGAATATAAAATGTGCCCCCACGGACTCGTGAGCTGAACAGACAGTCTCAAGTTGGTAGAATTCCCGAGGGAGATACTGGAAATGTTAGATAGGACCTATCTTGAGGAACTAGGTCACTAAATGTATGAACTTGGAGCCGTTAATTTTCTCTCCCCCTTCTTCTCCCTCCCCATCTCTATGATCCTCTCCATTCCTTCCCTCCCTTCTTTCTTCTATACTTTGACCTATTCTACCATTCCTTCATCATGTTAGACTGAGTTTTCTGAAACTATGAGTAAATGAAACTCTTTCTTTATGTTTGCTTCCCGAGATATGGTTATAGCAAAAAACAAAGCTGACTCTCGAATTTAGGCTGTCCCTCAATTCTAGACTCATATATCCAACTACACACTCAACATGTCCACTTAGATGCCCAATGGGTCCTTCAAAAATGTCAGGACATAAAGTAACCATTGGTGCCTTACTCTTCTCCCTCACCTTCTCCCTCACAGCTTTCTTCATTTCTGGAACCCTTGATTCCACTTTCCTATTTTTCACACTAATAACCTACAGTATCTTCTTTACTACTTTCTTCTTATTTGCCTCAAGTCTGTGAAATATTTTCTTTCCTACACTATCAAAAATGCTCAAAGTCACCTTCTCTGGTTTTACTACTTTGGTCAAAACTTCCATTGTCCCTCCCCTGCTATCCTGAAATGCTTTCCTCTCCTGACTGCCTTATCTTTCTTTCTGTGGCGTTTTCTCAAGAAGCAGGAGTGATGCCACTTCAGCATCAGATGCTCGTGGTGCTCTGTGCTCGGCTTTATCAGAACCTTCCCATCCTG